CATATGGTTTAATTGTGAAATGCGGAAAATGAACAAGAAAGTACCATACAAGACAGCTTCCAGCATTCTACTATTATATGTTATATGTGCTGGATAGACATACAACAATATTAAGGCCAAAATTAGACCACCAGCATTAAGATTATGTACACCATTTACAATAGTATATAAAGGTAATAAGAATTGCTGAACACTTGGAGTCCACTCCAATAATTACAGCTCAAAATATGACACTGAATAATAATTAATAATAAATAAAAAAATAATGCATAAAAATAATAAAATTCAGTATTCAGCTCCAAGTATTCTAAGCTCTCCAAACAAAAATCAGTCACCTTGCGTATTTAATTGGTATTAACTTCAGTCTCCTGCTGATGGCATTGCATGAGGATATTTGAGCTATAAATACCTGCAGGGTGTGCAATGTGATTCATAGATTGAGACGAGGTGGTACAGTGTAGTGAATATCTTGTTTGATGTGTGGAAAATGGTTTGCAAAGCAGATGTTAATGATTGGCAAAAAGAACACTCCACAGGGAACTGCACACCATAAACATATGGAGCAAAGTGGCACATAAGAGGCCTTTGCTCACTTCTGCTGAAAAAAACAGTTACAGTCTGATGGTGGGCAAAGAGACACAAAAAGTGGACTCTTAATGACTGGAAACGTGTTATCTGGTCAGATGAATCTACTTTCTGCCTGTATGTGAATGATGCTGGATGTTGTGTTTATCGTAGATCTCGGGAAGCCTTCAATAAGGACTGCATCCAGGTGTGGTTCCATCTGGAGAAGCTCTGTGATGTTCTGGGGTGTTTTAATTATACAGAAAAGGGTCCTCTGGTTGAGGTGACGGTAAATTTGAATCACAGTGCTGACACTGAGCTGCTGGTCAACCAGGTTTTGCCTTTTGCTCATCATCTTCCCAAGGAACATAAAATTCTCACGTTCGCAGGGCTGCCAATGTGACTTATTGGCATGATTAACATTCAGGAGCGTTAACACATCTGGATTGGCCCACAAAATTCCTAGATTTGAATGCTCTTGAAAACCTGTGGACAATGAGGAAGATGCCAGGGAACGCATCCACAAAATCTGGCTGAACAATGCAATTCTTTAACGCAAGAGTGGCAGAACACTGATATCACCTAGATTCATAAGCTTGTCCAGTCCATGGCAAATCAAATCACAGCTGTTATTTGTACTTGTGGATGTATTACATGTTATTAGGTACGTTTCAGTCACAGGTAAAATTTATTTATTTATTTATTTATTTATGTATTTTTCTGGTGAGCTTACATAGGTTTCCAGGACAATCTGGGGAAAAAAAAGGTAAATATCCTGCACAATTTGCAAAGTGTGTCATATTTAAAAGAATGAGGATGGATAAACACTCACAACATCACACATCTGCTGCTGCTGAGAAACTTTCAGAAAGCAAGTCCAGACCTCAAAATGATAAAGTTGCAATAGAAGGTCAAGAAGGTCAAGCACGAGGAGGTTAGCATTTATAAGAGCCTGGGACTTTTTACTGGGTAGCTTACAGTTAAACATGCTGAGAATATTCGGTTAGTACTTCAATCTCTGTTCTCACAATATGCCATTTGGATGCTGGTGATAATGTACTATTTCTTTAGTTCTGAAGAATTTTAATGCACCATTAGACAGAATACAGACAGTATAAAGTGTGTTCATACAGTTTTTGGAATTTGTGTTTTGAGTGCTGGTAAATGTTTGTCAAAGCAATTTCTAGATTTATTACAAAACAGTATAATTTTGAGATATAAATATACGACTATAATTTAAGTACTGCCACAATGACCTTTATGATTGGATTGATATTGTAGGTACTAATGTGATGACATCACTCAGAATGGCTCTTCCTCTGATCTTCCTGCTCATAATTGGGGGTGAGTCAATAGATTCTACTGTAACATCTGCACTACAACAGCGTATTGTTTATGATATACATGAATCTTTATTTTATATAATGTGACAGAACTTGAATATGTTCATGTCTAGTACTGCACCATGCTAAATACATTGACAGTGTCTGCAAATTTCTGCTTCTGTCCAACACACTGTATTCTCATCACCTGCAGCATCACTGAGACCATCACCATCAATATTAACCACAATTCTACCAACAATCCAATGGATGACCACATCTGAGAGATTACTTATTGAATAATGCCTTTTTTCCCATGAAATTTTGATATAAATCTTTTGTTACAGTCCTCATAGTGTGCTTCATGGGCTTCTTTACATTTCAATAAATATGTATAAAAAAGGAAAATACTTTCTCCTTTTTTTTCCTGATTTGTCCAGTTTAATCTTGAATAAGCCTCTCTAGTTTTAAGACAAAACTTGCTCAGCAACATTAAATGTCATCAGACGATTTGCAGTCCTTCTAAATGAAAAACAATATTAGTATTTTTAATTTTCCCTATATTTTAAATCTTTTATCTTGTAATTTTACTTCTATTCAGAGTTTTAAGCCTTCTTTTTGTTTTGTTCTTACATTGTACTCTTTGATGTTGTCTATTTTTGATAAATTTTACAATTGTAATGTGATCTTGGGTCATAAATAAACTTGTGTCAAAATATTGTCTTCTTTTTCTTCTTCTTCTGCTTCTTCTTCTTGTTGTTGTTATTATTATTATTATTATTATTATTATTATTATTATTATTAGCATTGCTATTATGACTACATGTGAATGTATCTGTTGACTTCCACAATAAAGATTCCCAGTTTCCCAGAGCAGAGAAACAGCGCCCTCCTCCTCTCAATTCACAAACTGCAGACAAATTCATTGTAGCAAATCTTTGTTATCAGACATCAGAATTTGGTTCTCTTTTTAACTACTTGCTCCCAGAAACTTAGACTGAAATGGAGCTAAAAATCGTAAGATGGTGGCTTGGTAAACCTTGCAGGCTCTCGTAAGAGATCAGAGCTATTACATGAAGTATTACATGTGAAACAGGTTAGCTGCAAAAATCATTGGCTGTATGATATACACTATGTGGCCAATAGTATTTGGACATAATCCTCCTAATTGTTAAGGTGTTTCAGCCACACACATTTGTAACAGCTGTATAAACATTGCTTTAGTATGTGTCAAGAAGACAACCATGCAGTCTGCATAGACAAACACTGGCAGTAGAAAGCATCATAATGAAGAGCTCAGTGACCTTAAACATGGCACTGTTATTGGATGCTCCCTTGGCCACAAATCAGTTTCTGAAATTTCTGCTCAGCCACATCCACTCTGACCATCTGCATGTGCTATTATTGTGAAGCAGGAAGCATCTAGGAGCAACAGCAGCTCATCCACAAAACAGTAGACCACACAAACTCACAGAGCAGGGCTGACAAGTGTTGAAGTGCATAGTGCATAAAAAATGGCCTCTCCTCTGTCACATCACTCACTGAGTTCCAAACTGCTTTTGGAAGCGACCTCAGTACACAAACTTCTTCTTATTATTATCGTTGTTATTATTGCTTCAACACACTGGAGATATGGTGAAGTTCTGTAGAAGCACATTGTTTCATTGAAGGTTTGGTTAATGTCTACACTATGTTTGGTGTTGAGAGTTTCTCATTTGAGCATATTTCCATTCTTTCTCTCTGCTTCAAGGCTTTCAAAGCTCTTCATACTTTGTGGTTTCTCTCAGATTTAGCTCAGTGTTGTAGAGTAGCTGCTGGAGTTGGAGAGGAGAGAAGTGAAGCTGTAAGCTACAGTAACTCTGACTGTCTTATGGGCTCCAGACTCTTTAATCAGCTTCAGGAACAGAGTGGAGTGTGAAGTACAACCAACAGGAAATATGTGCTTCAAAAGGATCCACAGTGTTTATGAATGGTACTTACTCACAAAAAAAGTCTTACAGTGAATAAGACATTTGGTTCATAGACCCAGTTAAAGGCGTGGAGCCGGCTGGTCTGTATACAGATCCAGATTATTCAGGCAGAGTCAAGTATTTAACTGGTGAACAGAATCACTTCTCCCTCAAACTGAGTGAGGTATTGAAGGAGGGTGTACATGAGTACTGCTGCAGAATTGGCTGGGTTAAGTTTTCATTAATATTTTTTAATAACTGCTCTGTGATGTCCTGCTGTGCTAAAACATGGAAAACATCCAAATCTGCAGGACTGATTTCCCCCAATGATATAACTCAAAATAATACCACAGTGAAACAAAGAGGATACAAGTAGACATAAAACAAGCACAGGATGTCATGTATTACTCATCAGCATGAGGGGTACTTACTGGCATTCCTTGTGTATGCAGTATTGTGAACATGCAGCATGTTAACTTCTGCTTTTCTCTAGCATTCCAACCACAATCACATCTCAGCTTTTTCTCTGTGGTTTCAGCTAAAACTGATGATGAGTGTTAGAAATGAAAAGTGTTGAAAGCAAACATGCTGCAAGTGGGAAATCAGCCAGTATTTCACAGAATCTTAACCTCTATATGTGTGTATAATTGTGTAATATTTTAAGCACTGAAAAACCAAATACTCAGCAAGTTTTAAATTGAATGGTAAACAAGAATACAAAAAGGTAATGAGCTTGTATAAGGCATCACACAGCTGGCACAGGGAGTCACACTGACCATATGTGGCTCATTAAAGTAGCAAGCTAGTAAATATAGTGGGCTACAAAATATTCTAGATTATTAATAACAGGTATACGTCATTTTACAAGCAGTCATTTTATTGAGAGCAATACATTTTCAAAGTCAAAATAAATTATTTTCCTGCTGATATTTTACAGACAATGAAGAGCTGACAAAATGTAGCTTCGTAAGTAATGAAGCTTTCTCTGAAACTTCAAAACAAAACATCCGAAAATGTGTTCTGTGAAGCTTAATGTAGTAGCTAATGAGAAAACTGTGAAAAACAGGATTTTTCCTTCTATCACCCACTTGTTTTGGTCTGAGATGTGAAACCTCACATGTGTTAACAATGTAAATGAGACAAAACTTTCTCCTCATATGTTGGGGATCAAATTCTGGTACACTGAATTTTATTACTTATTTTGGGATTCAGACTCTGGTAAACGGAATCTGATTGGTGGGTGTTGGGATTTACACGCTGGTAGACTGAATCTGATTTGTTGGTGTTAGTGTTAGGCTCTGGTAGACTGAATCTGATTGGTTGGTGTTGGGATTCATGCTTTGGTAGACTGAATCTGATTGACTGGTGTTGGGATTCATGCTTTGGTAGATTGAATCTGATTGGCTGGTTTTGGGATTTGTGCACTTGTAGACTGAATCTGCTTGGCTGGTGTTGGGATTCATGCTCTGGTAGACTGAATCAGACTGGCTGGTGTTGTGATCTAGTCTTTGCTGGACTGAATCTGATTGGCTGGTTTTGGGGTTCATGATCTGGTAGACTGAATCTGTCTGGTCGGTATCTCTGTTTAGATTCTGATAGACTGAGTCTGGTTGGCTGGTGTTGGGATGTACATTCAGCTTGGCTAATTTTGACTTTTTTGTGTTTGGGTTTACACTCTGGTAGACTGGATCTGATTGGTTGCTGCTGGGTGTTACACTCTTTAAAAGTATATCAGATTGTTGGATATTGGTGTTAACACTCTGATAAACTGAATCTGATAGGCTGGTGTTGGGATTCCCACTCTGGTAGAGCGGATTGATTATTATGGAGTAGTCATTTTCAGGTGGATGGTTTTCATTGTTGGTTCTCTCCTATACAGAGAAAAACAATATAAATTCCAGAGCAGTGATGACAGAATCTTCAAAATAAAAGAATCATGTGTCATTCACTACCTCTAGTCTTCTGGAATCCCTCTGTGGTATTATCGAGCTAGGGGCATCTGAAGAGGTAATAGGAAACAAAAACACTGTATTTTAGTTTGTTTTTATTGGTTATGTTTAATTATCTTGGTGTGTGTGTGTGTGTGTGTGTGCGTGTGTGTGTGTGTGTGTGTGTGTGTGTGTGTGTGTAAATGTATGCGTATGACCTGATAATGTATTTAAATTCTTCCATCGTGTGCAGAACAGCACTAGAACAATGAGAGAGATTCCAGAGACCAGCAGTGAAACATACACATACAGAGTGATGAAACCTGGAATCAAAGATTCAATTCAATTAAACATTAACCACCTCTGCAGGGCACTTTAAAAGAATAAAAGCAAATAAGACACCAAGGATATAAAATATTTAAAAAAAAAGAAAACATTTAAAGTAGTTCAGTATCTGTGCTGTCAGGGAACAAAAATAAAATAAAATAAAATATATAATAATAAACAAAATTTTAAAGAATAAAAAAAACTCAATTTTTGTTTTTTTCATATTCTTGCATAATTTGAAAAGTCCAATTATCCTTTGCCTTGTGTTAAAATTTCATAATAAACAGACCAACAGAAGTGGTCCAAAACAATGGGAAAAATTGTGTCACATTAGCTGCGTAACATGTTAAGAATTTTAAAATTATTATTAATAATTAATTAATTAATATATTTTTTTTCCAATTTTTCAACAAAATGTTTGGGATATACAGTGATAATAGGTTAATAAAATAGAAAAACAAAAGGAAAGAGGGAAAGAACTGGAATTAGCTTGTAAGATATCTTTTCTGCTGCAGTGCTGAAACATCATTTTACAGGAAGCAGTGACCCTCTTTGTTGAGGTTAGTCAAGGTTTAATACCAACATTTATAATCATAAACGTGTAACACTGAGAAAAAAAATATATATTGAGGGTGGGGGAAAAATCGTTTTTTAAATTGTAATTTATAACGGAATGTTGACGGAATGCAAAAGGTGCTTGGAACTTGGAACTTGGAAGTGCAGCGCCCGGACAGTCTGTGGCGGTCAGGAGTCGACAACTCAAATGATAAGAAGAGCCATTTTGTTCTTTCAACAAAAAATCAAACCACCTTGGGAGCCACAACATTTTATGTCCAGTATGTGTAAGTGTGTGATGATGTCTTATTATAGGTTAAAAAATATAAACGTATAAAATGTAGACTTACTTTGCTCTGCTTTAAGCTTTAGCTGTAGCTGCTTTCCTCCCATCTCTGCCAGAAAACTTTTCCTCAAAAGTAGATCAGTTTCTTGTAAAATGTCTCTCAACATTCAACTGTTTTATGAGGCTGAAGTCGCTTCTCATTTGCCAGCTTCTTGAATTTTCCCGTTCCACCTTAAATTCTGACTGAGGCGCCAAATGTAAATGTGGCAGCATTTAAGGTGGAACGAGAAAATTAGAAAGAGAAGCGACTTCATCTTCGCAACTTTTTAGTGTTTGACAGTCTCTCTTTGCAGATTTAATGTACCAGGAAACCAACTGTGCTGCTTATAAATGCAAATAAGTCCATTCATCTCGATGTTCATCTTAAATCTCCTCTTTTGCCTTTTTGTTAGCTACTAGCTAGACGAGACTGCATTGCTATGTGACCTACAGTCTGCACGCTGGTTCTGAGAACCAAGTCTTTCCTGCTATGTTGCACACGTCCCGTCTCGAAAATGCTTTATTATTTTATCGTACATGAGTGGCAGTCTGCGTCTCGTGCTCCAAACAAGAGCAGTGAATGAGAGCCTCCTAGTTCACTTACCACATCACTTCCATTTGTTTTATTAATAAAAGATATTGGAAGTAACTTCATTACAGATACTTTGCTTTAAAAGTATCAAGTCCTCACACAGTGAGAAAATAGAAATCCTGTATAGAAAAAAAGATGCATCAAGATGCATCTTCAAGAAGCATATATTAATTACATGAACCTGTCAAAAACTGTCATGTATCACATTTCTGTTTGTAAATGTTTCTCTATTGTTTACATCTCATGTTGATAGTCTTCAGAAGCAAAGATATAAAAAAGATATAAAAGATATAAATATAAAAAAAATACTTAAGATGAGATAGAGAGGAAAGAAATACTGTTTATATTATCTGAACTTTTTTGTACCTGAAGAAGGAGGCAGTTGTGTGGAATCCACTGAGGTACTAACAGAAATTGTTGGAGTAGGATGGGAGACATTGCTGTCATCAGATGTTTCTGAAAGATGAAAAAAAACAAAAACAGAACTTTAATTAATTTATACTTTCTAGCCTAAATAAAAAATAACCTCGTTATGTAAATAAATCTTTTTTTTTATTCTGAGTAAGATTCTCATAGGTTTCCTAGATGGCAGACCTTTCTGAAGCTTATCTTTCAAAGCTACCAGAGCTTATGTGCATACACAGTGTCATCAAACACATGCTAGTAGTATCAACAAGCAAAATAATTTCTAAAAAATACAGTGCATAAAATATACATGTGAAAACATCAGTACGGGCCCAGCATGTGCTGCTGGCTGCCAGCAGAGGGTGATGGTGGCGAGGTGCCACAAGTTCTGGGAACTCCAATTCCCAGAAGCCATCAGGCTGATTGGGCCCAACCTGGCACGCCTGTGGACTGTTCTACTTAAGGCTGTGGCAAACAGCAGCCCTTTGTCACTCTTTTGTAGAGGAGTGACTGGTATGGTACTTAGCCCAGGTGAGTATTTAAACAAAAAAAAAGAGAAAAGAGGGCTGAAAAAAACAAGAGAGAAATTACTCCAGAAATACTTAAAAGACAGAAAGAAGGCTTGAACAAGAAATGGTTACAAGCCATACAAAAGCATTTGCTCCACAAAGAGCAAACAGACAAAACATAAAGCTGACCTTCCTCTCATAATCACAGAGGAAGTGTCTTTTTTCTGATTATCTTTTATTTCACTTTTTCTATCTCAGCCCTTGAGCATGCTGCTTTCAGCATGTTTTTCCCATTTTTGCCTGGGCTTCCACAGCAATAACTCCTCAGACTGCCAGTCCGTTCATCTGCGGTCCAAGCCTGGCTCTGAGCTGCCTCAACCCCAACATGCACAATCACTCAATTTACACTCCATCACCTCATTTAATTCTTTTAAGACCCTTTCTCATGGGCTTTCCTCTCTGCACTTCGGTCCACCTCCCTGCTGAACTAGCCCAAGTTCACTGAGGTCCAGTCCTCTAGTTGCAGTTTCGGGATGGTTTTATGGTATTCAATGTGGAAACAGTCAGGAAACTACCAAACCAGAAAGGCTGATTTTCAGCTGACCTCAGATCAGATGTGGCTTGGCCATAAGACTTACCTGACCACTATGTTTATCTCCGTAGAAAGCTACAAGTTCTGTATTTGGATATGATAGACAGTAGATGAGAACTAGCATATTGATCGCAAAGTATCATGTAATGCAAGTAAGAAATAATCGGGAACATTATTATGATGGCTGTATTCATAATGAACTCTTAACTGTCTAAGTAGCCTGTCTTCCCGCTTTGGTAAAGATGAATTTTGTAATGTATAATGTGATTTTTAATGTATGCTTTTTCAGTAATTACTGAGGACAGTCAGTTTCATATCAGCATGATTAGATGATTCCTGAAGAGTGTTTGCCAAATTCCCAATGCTTTTATTCACAATGATAGCCATGCAGTCAGCTTTCACTTGCTTTAAAAAAAAAAATAAATAAAATTAAAAAAAAAAAATTGCATACTAAATGTTAATTTTGTGGCAGTTGCCACTTGGGCCCAACAGCCTTACGAGCACAGAAGCTTGTCAATACAGATTTCCATTAGAAGAATGTCATTGGTTGTGTGTGCACCCCTGTAAAAGGGACAACTCATGTTTGTGTTTGTTTTTAGTTTGACTTGTACACCTCAATCAAAACTCACTTTTGTTGAAGTCACATTGACATCCTACTTCTTCAGCAGTTTATATAGGCTGAAGACTGCTCTGATATATAACAGTGACTTCTAAAATATGAACTCATTTGCATACAATTAATGAGGCCTTCTGTGTTACCTTAAACTCTACTGAAGTACCAAATAGTATGAAGTGACACAAACGGAATAACATGTATATCACTAATTAGAGCATCACTTTTTTCTTGTTCCTTAAAATGTAAGTCTGTTGTACACAATTTCATAGGTTTAGCCTTCAGAGGCTTGGCCTACAGACAGGGTGCTGGCACAGCATTATTGGCAAATGACTGGACTAGAAGGTCATTTGTGTCCCTTTCCACTTCTTTTTTTCCCATGCCCTTTACACTTGAGCAATTTCTGTTCACTTTGCACTTCCTTCATCTCAGAGGGTTCATTCAAGAATGCATACATTATTGATGAGCATTGTTTATCTGAAATTTAATCAACTGGTTTGGCTACATTCTAGCACTGTTATTCAAGAATGTATTAATATCAGAGATTTATTTATTATACTTCCAGTGCCTGTGTCTACTTCAGCTTTACACACAATGTCTCTTGACTTATGCATATACATTCTTCATCAGAAACCAACATCAACATGTTTAAAAGTATTCAACACAAATTAATAACATGAATTAATAACATTTGTTTCAAAGCTGTTGGCAGTTACAGCTTTGAGAACTTTATAGTGAGAAGTAATTGACTTTTTACAGTATTGTGGTTCAGTTTTGGTCTATTCCTCTTGGTAAACCATCTTCAATTCCCCAAAGTTACAAAGTTCTCTCAGTTAGACTTGCAATTACAAAAACTCAATCTTTAGCTTGCAGATTAGCTATATAGGATCGGTGAGTCATGAGATTCCCTGTCAGTTTTGTTTTTTAAACCCATCTTTGTAGTACAAAGTCAAGACACATTTAAATTTGAAGTGGATGAATGTTCTTGAAGTACAATAAACAACAAAAGGTGTTCTGATATTTCCTCTCACTGTATATAAATAAACCTGCAATGCTTTTCTTATAGTTAAGAAAATTCTCATTAATGTTCTATTTGTTCCATTGTTAAATGAATAAGTGTGTATACTGAAACAGTTCTGATCTGTGAAATCAGCAACTTGACTACATTATATGTGTCTTTGTTTTAGCAATGAAGCACATTAATACATTGTGTGCATTTACAGACCGAGATAAAGAACACATACCTGTAGTTGAGAGAGGAGGCAGGTATGTGGTTTGTGTCTCCACTGTTGATGGAGGAGATTATGTGAGAGACAACAGAAGAGTTTGAGGAGAACAGAGGAAAATGGAATTGATGTGGTGTAAAATTAAATTTGAATATTATTTTCTTCTTACTGGAGACACAATAAAACAATCTTAAATGCAGCATAATTTATTTTGTGCTTTGATAGTCTGCTTTGAGAGTGTAGAGGTGCTGAAATCAGTCTTGACTTACCCAGTTTAACCAATAATAGAATCTCTGTGTAAAGATCAGGAAGTGCTTTGGTCCTCTGTATCCCACACCAGTATGTTCCTCCATCCTCTGTTCTCAGATCAGTGATGGTGATGGTGAAGACTCTGTCTGCTGTGTCATCATCCAGAGAGAATCTCTGATCTTCAGCAGATCCAGACTGAACAGGAATGTCTTTAGTTCCTCATATAGCAGAACATTCTCCTCTGCAGAGATACTTTATGTTGGTCTCATATCCAGAATCATAGGGGCATTTAATCTGGACTGACTGTCCTCTGTGTCCAGTTACAGTAGTTACAGCACTGATTCCAGCTGTAAAAAAAAGACTTGTTGTATTAGAGATTAATGAATGCCTGAGGACTAAGACCTTACTCAGCTGGTAAAGAGATACAAGATGAAAAGTAACCCTGTAAAGTCTTTGTAAAAGATTTTGGTTTAACAAGCCTGAGATTATGAATAACTACAAAAACTACAGAAACATCTTACTGAGATAATAACAGCAGTAATGATGAAAACAAGAGGAGAAAATGTTCAGTTGCTTCTTTGGCACTGAACTAAACCACTGTTGTATGTTATTGAGTTTGTAATATCTAATCTCAATTTAACAAAATTTAACAGAAAAACTGAAAGCTAAAACTCACCAGATGTGAAGACGATCAAGATGATGATTGAGATAGTCATGTTTAAATTGAAATTAAACTCTCATACAGGTCAGTTTACACATGACAAACTTCCTTATAAATGAAAGTAAAGTATGAGTTTATCACGAGAGCTTTCAGCACTTCCTCATTTCACAGAAACTTAAAGGGAAATTCCATCAATTTGTAAATTTTCTGCATAATTAAACGGTTAAGATTGAAAAAGTTATTCAGAGTGTTGGTTCTAGAAAAACCTACCAAGTCAGAATGTCAAAGGCATAATTTTGCCATCATTAACATTGTACAGACATTGTAGGATCGATGGAATTTCCCTTTAAAGACCTAGCCCTGACCTGTCTCTCTCTCTCTCTCTCTGTCTCTCTCTCTCTCTCCGTCTCTCTCTCTCTCTCTCTTTCTCTGGTCAGATGTACTCGTACATTAGCATGTGCATATTTCACCAACAATCAGTTTCATCTTTGGAGTATCTGTACGATCAAACTCAAATCTGGTAAAAGTACATATAAATTTGAGTAAACTGGATAAAAATGCTTTATTTGTGGTTAACTAGCCAAAACTATTATCAAGATCATGTAATATATTTGTGATGTTTTTGGTTTTGTACTACTGACACTGGCCAAAAATAAACAAAATGATACACATCTAGTGCAGAAACCTCATACACTGTAATACTTTTGTGTTTGTATATTTCCCTAATATATTATATTTAATCACATCACTGTGCCATCTAAAAAAAAGAACTTAAAGAATTTATTTGTACACTATTTTTTTTTCCCCAGTGGTGATAACTTTAACACTAAGTTTGGTCAGTATGGGAGCTGACCCCTTAAACTTAAACTCCGCCTTTGAGTGTAGCCATTGGCTCACAAGCTGCTAAATGCTCTGGCTCCCAAATTAAAGTGCATGCTGAAATTAATGGTTATATTCTCATATTTACAGAGTAAAAAAAGTAAAATATTCTTAATTTCTAGTCTTAAGCTCCCCAACTTCCTGCTTAAACTAATTAAATTACTGCTTTTAAGAGTGATGAATTGGAAACAAAGCTGTATCTTACTTTTTATTTCACAAAATCCTGGATAAGTGCAACTACTCCAAAATGAGTGATATACAAAAACAGTGGGTTCTGGCAGATCCCCTTGGACAAAGTACTAAATCCACAGCCATTATAACCCCATTGATCGGTACTTTTTTCATCACCTTCTATTCTTGGCACCACTAGTGCACCTGAGGCTGTCCCGTGAGACATGAATAACTTCCTGAAAGACCTTGAAGGTATAGCAGCTTACATGGATGACGTAAATGTATGTGAAAGACACCTGGGGACCATGAAATGTGCCTTTAAAGAGTACTGAACACAATTCAGAATACAGGGTTAAAGCTCAATGTAGAGAAATATCTTTTAAGACAAACATGGCTCCAATTCCTAGATCACATCATTGATGAACAGGGCATCAGAACAGACAAGAGAAACATAAGAGATGCCATAAGAAATATCCTGGTGCCACAGAACTGAAACCAGCCTTGGACATGGTGCATGGTGCTTAAGTTGCTTCTTACCCAGTCTGGCAGATGTGACATGCCCACCTGACCTATTGATGGCAGATACAATATGTGGGGTCCAGTACAAGAGCAGGCTTTTGCAAATGTCAAGTAAATAATATCTGAAGCACTTGACATGTGCAAAGACCAGAAATGCACAAATTGAAGGAGTGCTGGGCAGTGGTCTGGACATGTGTAAAGGTTGCAAAATATCTGTACAGCTTGGATGGTTTTACAGTCCAAACTGACCATGAGCCATTGGCTCCAGTCATCATCTTCAAGGACATTGATGCAGTGCCACTTATGTCAGCGGCTACTAGTGGGCTTGAAGGGATTCAGTGCAAAGACCAAGTATGTTCCAGGTAGGCTCATTGTAGTTGACACACTTCCAAGGCATCCTTCTATGGCCTTGCAATTGTAGCCCTAAAAAAATTCACGAATACCTTGGCACTTTTTAGGTTCTTTTCTTCATGAAGTTAAAAAGCACACAAAGAATGACCCTGAGATATGCACTGTAAAACAAGTACTTACAGAAGGTATGGCTGAAATATGTACCACAGGTGCCTGAAAGCTTCAACGCATATTATGTTTTAAAGCAGTCACTTTCAACCTCCCATGACCTGTTAATTTTTGGGAACCAAATAGTAATTCCCAGAAACTTAAGCTCAGAAGTCATTTAGTGACTTCACAAAGGTCACATGGGGATTGTCAAGTGTCGTGAATGTGCCAAGCAGAGAGTTTGGTGGTCAGGCACTGGCAAAGACATCCTGCAGTGCATTCAGAACTGTGCATATTGTCAGACAACTACACCTGCACAAAAGAAACAACCATTCATGATGACTACCTTATCAAACAGACCCTGGAAGAGAGTCAAGTACTTAATTCATAGTGGTTGAATCCCATTCCTTCTCTTCTAGCTTACAAAACTACTTCCATCCAAAACACAGGTTAAAGTCTAGTACAATTAATGCTTGGATGCCAGCTGAGGACATCTATTCCTACCCTAGAGGAGAAGCAGATTCCAAGGTGGCTAAATTTCACCCATATCAAAGCAACAGATAACAGAGCAAAGGCCAACTATAAATGCTACTATGATGCTCACGATTGCAGTAGCTCACTGTCTATGATAAAGCCTGGAGACTCTATTGCAGTGAAACTTGATAGCAAGAAAGGGTGGAACTCTTATGCCACATTTTTGGAGAAGTACATCACCCCAGATCATATCTTGTGCGCACAGAGAGGGGTGTTTTTCACAGGAACTGGAGGCATCTGCATTTTTGGATCCTTTGAATCCGCAGCCTGTGCCAGTGGAGAGGGAAGAAATGGACATGGGAGAACACCTCTAAACACCTAGTATCCTCTAAAAGCCCTTGCAACAGACAGCACCAAGTACTTGCTGAACCTGCTGCAGTTGTCACCACATCAAAAGGCAGAGTCATCAAGCAACCGTCTTACCTGAGAGACTTTGTAGTCAGTGCATGGACAGCCACATGAGGCAGAACAACCCTCGGCATCTATGCGGGGAAATGGTAGTCTACCTGGGTACCCTAGATTTAGGTTGGTGTTAATGTTCTATGTTCTTGAGTAAAGCAACTTCTTCTTTTAAAAGAAAATCAGCAAATGTCAGTTGTTTTTGTTATAGAATGGGCTTAAGAAAGTAGAGAACAAATAGCTTGTTATTTATGTTGTCTTTTGTAGAAGTCCCTGTGCTTGAACTTGTAACTCAAAATACAGTGAGATGCAATGTAAAGAGTTACTTTGAAGCACTAGTCAATATTACAGAGCATGCTCCAACCCAGTATGCTACTTCAGTTCTCTCATCAAAACTATTATAAAAGGAATACTGGCCATTCCGACTACTCAGTGACAGTACACTGTTCACACACTTGTGGTCCCGTAGTACTGAACTTTGCATGCACCCATTTCTCAATTTTGCATTTAAATGACAGGCTCACAAATGTCCCAGTGCCTTTGAAATTGATGGTCAATCTACTGCCGCTTACCCTCTTACCCTTTCACACAGAGACAGCCTCATAAATTAAGACGTCAAACCTTGAAGTCTTTTACGGCAGCAGTACAGGTATCAACCTGACTCCCCAGTGGCATAATGTATCAGATAGAAGAGATTAATAACAATCAGGATTTGATAAACTAATTGACATACTTAAAATGTACATATCTATCATTATAATAGTAAATTTGTGTCTGCATGTCCCTGTGGTCTGTTTTGTAGTGACAAGCGTAGCTGCTGTGGTTTATCTCATAGCTACAGAGGAAATGACATCGTCTTCAGCTACTACTTTTAGAATTGAGATCATGATGATAGCAGTCTGATGACTTTCTTTGTCTGGCTCTGTTACTTTGACAAACACATTTGCTTATAGTTACTGACTATCAAATGAGGCCTTGTCTTTTGAACACAGTGTGAATGGCTGTGGTTTGCTGAAAAATTGCAGAATTGTTACAAATGCTAAGAAATTTTTTATTTAAATAAATACATAAATAAATATTCATTCATTCATTCATTCATTCTTTTCACAGTATAAGGTTAGGGTATAAGATTAGTCACTCTTTTTTGAGAGTATCTGTAGAAAAACATCATTTCAGATCTCATACAGATGATCAGATGATATTTATTCTATCAGCTGGGTAAAACCTCACTAAGATCAGCACCGATGGTGGAATTGGAAAAAGTCCTGCATGCTGGAACAGACAGTGATCTCCATGAAATACATCACAACAAACTTACACATGGAAAAAATATCTAATATTGAAAAACATCATGCATTTACATGTACATAGCGTTGGATAGTTTCAAGCGAAGTTTATCTCTTGTTGCAGCTAAGAAGGTCACATGCATCCTGTAGCAGGAAGGAGCGTGGTTTGGCCTGGGTATTTTTATTGCACATAAGAACTTAGTCAAGTGGTGGCCACGTCTAATTCATGCTTCAGTGCTGCCTGTGTTCTTAGCATTTGTCATTTGGATGC